GCAGGTGGTGAGTCCACAGGAGCCCCATCTTTCAGTTGGGGCTTTGGGCAAAGTAGGGTTAAGTGTCTTGCCCAAGGACACAACGACAGCAGTCATCAGTGGGAGTCGGGAAGTAGGTCTTACGGTGGGCTCGAACCCACGACCTTCAGGGCCAAAGGCCAATGCTCTACCAACTGAGCTACTGTCGCCCAGTTCACATGTAATCAATACATGTGATTGGTAAATTGCAATTTGTCCCAGTGTAAGAGTCTTGTCAGACCACAAGTCTTCAACACGTTATCTTTCTGTTGGAACAGACAACATGGATTATTTAGGAAACAAAAAAGTTAGGTGCTCTAGCTTTAGGGCGTCACTCAACAGGTTCAATCTCCTGCAAATGCTGTCAAGCGTGATTTTAGGTTTGTCTCGAGACCAAAGAGTGGAAGAGCTGGTTTGTTGGATTACAATCCCTGTGGCTGTGTGTGTGGGCGCGGAGCTGTGCCAGACATGCGTAACACGGATATTATGATGATTCGTGCACAGGGAATTTGAAGGAATTGTCATTGACGTTATGAGTGATTAAGTAGTAAGTGAAAGAATTACTGCAAAGGTGTGAAAAAGTGCAGTTACATGACAATAAAGAGTGTTCTGGGTTGGGGTCCATCAGGTTGTCGGGTAATCAACTCCTCAACCTTTTATTTATTCTATCACAGCATTTCCCAAAAAATGCGGATTGTCAACTTATATTTGTATCTCCAAGTAAAACCCTATTTCTGAGACCTTTTTGTTCCATAAATAATATATGTTGTGTGTCCCAACAAAAAGAGTCTTGTAAATGTGAAATAAGGGGTCTTATCTTTTCTACTGTTCAGTTGGAAAAAGCTGATTTAAAGACGTGACAGGACACAAAAATACAAGCATTCAAAAGTAGTGATAGAACCAAATTGTTCTGAGACCGAGGAAATGAATTTGATGACAGTAAAAAATAATTGTGTTTAGCGTCAGGTATTCCAGCCATTAGTATTTGTGTTAAGTCACTTTCACTGATTGATAGAAAAGGCAGAATTGTGAATGAGGTGGTTCTGTGCATATAGTTTTTTCTAGTTTTAGACAGTGAAGGGTGGGACTGGGGAGTTTGTCACAGGGCGAGGCTTTTCCAACCTGCTTGCATTCCTCTGTTTGAATTTCAACTTAAAGCACGATTGCACAGCCCCACTGTAATTAAAACTGGGGTACATACACAATAGACAGATAGATAGATGGTTGGTTTGGTACAATATCAAAATATTAGAAAGAAATTATGATTTATATGACATTTATTCATTACATCATATAATCAGAGGGTCAGAAGGTTACATGCACAAGGTTCTGCCTTCAACACCACCCTGCCATACCTGCTCCAGGACAAGCTCTCTCAGCTCTATGAAGGTGGATCACAGACACCGACGGAACAGGAAGCGGTGCATACATCTGGGGAAGTGTCTTGGACACTCGGATTACAAACACATGATCTCCACAGGGCTGTGTTCTTTCCCCTATGCTCTTCTCTCTGTTCCCAACCACTGCGCCTCAAGCCACGACTCTGTGACACCACCCTCATTGGTCCCATCTCTGACAACAATAGGTCCGCTTACAGAGAGGTGGACCGGCTGGTGTCCTGGTGCAGTGGTAACAACCTGGAGCTGAACGCCCAGAAGACAGTGGAGATATTAAGGACTTCGAGAAGACCACAGTCCTCCTGTCCTTGCCTGCTTGTGCACTTTGTATTTTTCACCTTAATGGAAAACTTATAATTGACAAACATAGTTTGTCAGGTTTGATGGACAAATGTCATTGTTATCAACTACATTTAGGAAAAGAAAAACTGTTTTTGCACAGTTCATGAGTGCAACAGAAGTCCTTTCGACGTTGCCGTCAGTGCTAATGCAGTAATGTGTATGTCATACTGTATATCTTAATATTGCCAAGAATGTATTAAGGCAAAAATGTAGATTTTTCCAGGATTATTGGGGCGATCAATGTGAAGGTGGGAGGACCCTGTGCCTCTGCTCTGTACACCTGCAGCCGTGGTTCAAAGAAAAAAGTAGCAAAGAAATAGTGATTTAGTGTTACTGTATGTCACTAATAGATTATGTTCATTCTTGATATGGTCACTTTTTGAACAGTGTAGTTTTTATGGTGTTATTTCCATTGCTTTGTTTTAAATACAAGAACGACATATTTCTCAATTGGCACATGTTGAAGCTTTAAAACATTAGCAGTCCATTTGCAAAGAGAGCCTCAATGCTTCTCGAGGCTCTTTCGTCCCATCACTGGTGTTTGGGCATGCTCTCCTATCATAGCTGCAGAGTGGAGCAAACATGGGTCTCTTGGTCTCCCCCACTGCCTCCCCTCTCCTGGCTCACTCAGTCAGTCAGTACATAATTATCAAGCCTTCAAGAAATAAAAGCTTTTTCACTGTGTCTGTGGTATCCATATTCTATTTGTAAAGAATTCATGAGGATTTTACCTATTTGAGATGGAGAAAGGGGTCTGACCAGATTTAAATGTCAACATCGATGAGGATTTCTGAAGAGGCTTGAGTGAGGAAGAAGCAACGATAGAGTTATTATATGGAGGTGGAAGAATTATACTTCTGACATTTGGTTGATGTGTGATTTGAATGTAACAATATTAAAAAATAGAGCCATTTGCAGTTGAGGAATTTGCCTTATGAAGGTCTCAGGACCAAAACTTTGACATTTTCCAAACATATATATTTTTGCACGGACAGCAGTGTGTGGCAAGCATTATTTTCATTCAAAACAAGATTGAAATATTTCCAAGAAGCTGAAGGCGTGGAGATATTGTTGAACTTGAGTGACGGACGTTTTGCCTACATTGGAAAGTAAACTCCACTATCTCAGCAACACTCACTGTTTTGTGTGCTTTTATTTTGATATTATCTTTGGTCAATAGTTATAGCTCATACCTGGAGTACCAATCAGAGGCCTTCGCAGGAGGTTTCTCCACTTTGCTTAGCTAACCTGTTAAGGCACTAAACTGAACAATTGCTCAAATAAGGAAGTTGGCTCCAGCTAGCTTTTGTTGAAATCGTCTTCTTCCGCTTTCAGAAAACCCTATGGTGACGTCAGCACTCGGTCCACTCCTAATATACAGTCATTTGCAGACTGATTTAGCCAAAAGAGGTGCTAAAGTCTGAAGAAGCCTCTATATCGAAAAGAACAAACTATTTATTAATAAATATGTCATGTCATTTTCTACCCCTTTACAATGATTATTTGATCATTTGAGTTTTTAAGGGCAATCTCTTTGCACAACGGCACTTTTTTTCACGGGGCGCGGCTCTCAACAAGTCAGTAATCTTATTTTTTATTTATTTTTTTACTTTATTGGGTCATCTTCATTAGTTCACAGTTTTTTCTTAACACATACAGCTTAACATGACACATTTTAATTTCTTTTTTCCTTTTTTTCCCCCCACTATACTGCCCTTTTATCAAGAGAAGGGTAAAACAAAACACAGCAAAACAAATACATAGATAAATAAATAATTAAATTTTTAAAAAAAAAAATTAAATAAAATATGAAAGTAAATATATAGAATACTATAGTAGTAGTAGTAGTAGTAGTTTATTCGGTCAAGCATGAGAAACAAAGTTACAGTTAATTACAATTACAATATGCGACCGAAGGGTTCAGGCTGAAGTTAAACTTATTTCGCCTGACCCAGTACAAGGAAACGGATCGTTTCCATAGGAACACAAAATATACAAGCTGAAACAGTATCAGCAACGTCCAGTAACGATGAGTAACAAAAGGAAACAAAGGTTTAGCCTATAGCCAAGTTACAAATATTCAATTTTGGATTTAATCCCCCTTTTAAACGATTTCAATTTTTTTGCTGTTTTTAAATGGTTATCGAGATTGTTCCATAACGTGACTCCACTCACTGAGACACATCTACTTTGTTCTTGCCCAGTCCTTTTTGAAATAACCAGTTCCCCGAAGGCTGTACAGACTTTCTCTTAGTTTAAAATGCTTGATACAAGGTGGACTAAGGTTATTATATGCCTTGTACATGACAATCAATATATTGTAGTCAACAATGTCGTGCACTTTTAAGGTATTTAATGAGATGAACATCGGATTTGTTGATTATTCTAATAGCCTTTTTTTGAAGTACGAATATGGGCCAAACATTCGATCGGTAATTATTTCCCCATAATTCAACTCCATAACTCAAATATGGAAGAACAAGATAATTGTACAGTAAAAGCAGAGATTCCTTCTCTAATACAGGCCTCAGCCTCCCAATTATGCCAATATTTCTGGCCAGTTTTAACTTGAAATTATTAATATGAGGCTTCCAGCAAAGCTTGTCGTAAATAAACAATAGATTAATATTCCTAGGGCTATATGTTGAATAGTTTTGATATCATACTGACAAATAGACAGAAACATTTCAGTAATCTTTTTGGTTCATAGATGATGAAAACTAGCTATTGACCACTGAACAGTAACGATTAATCACAACTAATCCATTCTTTTTAACATTTATGCACTGAGAGATGTGATGATAAGGCTCAAACATAGTAGTAATAAATCAGATTAAAGATTTAGCAAGAATTGGGTACATTTTTAATTTACTGTATAGTGATGGAAACACTATATGATAGCTATTTAGATCATATATCATATTTGAATCAATGAATGTATCGATTAATTTCTAGATTAACCCATCATTAGTAATCGTTAGTTACAGTGCTAGTATTTTAATCCTCGTATTCTTTAGCGCATGCCAAACTTTTTCAGTTTCAGCAGCAGAGGTCTTTTCTCGTCCAGCCTCTTATTTTGAAGGAACTCTCTGCTCTGCCTGCGCTGAATCATCTGTGGCTTCTTTAAGTGAAAGCACAGCAGCTCAAACTCGTTTCTCTTCTCTGTGTGAGCCAGTGAGCCAGTGAGGCAGGGACCCAACACCGAAACTCCAGGGCCAGGACGGGACAGGACAGGACTGCAGAATGCCCAAACCAGTGAGTCCATTAAAGCCCACTCATCTTTGACATATTCTTACTTTTATATTATTCAGATTTTTTACCTTTGAGCATTGTCTTTTTATTTCAAAAACATAGATTATATTTGTTTAGTCTTATAAAAGTTGAATGATCTGTTCCTTCTCTTTAGTAAATCATTTAGTTATGAACTTTTCTGGTCATAAGTAAGCTACCTCTTTGTAAAGTCTTGTACTTTCTGTTTACACAAAACACTTCAAACTTTCTTATGACTTAAAGTATGTGTGTATTTCATGTTGTTCTAGTTTGTCATGGTAGTATTGGCTCTTTATAACTGAGTTTGTGAAGAACAGTGTTAGGTGTGTGGAATGACAGGAGTTAGGGCGGACTGCGATGACATCACACGACTGAGGCTCAGAATTCAGTCGGAGATTTGGCCCAGTTTACAGAACAAACAAACCATTTCACCTTTCAAACATACAGTGAATGTTACTGTAAGATGGTGCTGTCAATCAATGTATTAAATAATCTTCATAAACCACACTTTGGAACCTTTATTAATCCATTTGAATCACATAGGTCAGCAGTGAAATCATGTGATAGGAATAAAAGGAGCAACAGTAACTTTTAAAAGCTTAGTATCACATTAAATAACAAAAACCTTTTGACCTAAATGTTACAATATTGTTACTCATAAAAACATAGTTGGAGTTGGTTTTAGATCAATCCATGTTAATATCAAGAACTTCTGACACAAACGTGTAACTCCGCCTTCTGTCTCAAACCTGTAACGATATGATCTAAATGTAAAACTATCATCATCAGGGAAGTTTTCTGTCAAAAGTACGCTCCCTAAACTTCTTTGAAAATTCATCAGGCTAAACATACATACTGTACCGTACGTAGCGGGTGTTGGAGCATTTGCCGCACCAGTTACATTTTAAAATTAAATAAACTTTCGTTGTTAGGTACATGTGACCCAAATAGACGCAAAAATATAACATTTGATATTTACAGGGCTAACAAAAATCTTGGTATTTCGTCCTGCACCAGGATAACCCTAACCCTTTCCACATCCATAGATTTACAGTGTCCCAAACGTTAATATTTATTTAAATCTGTTTTAAAAGTCACAATTAGCACCAAAAAGTGATTATTTATTCTCAGCTGGTGACGAAATACCAAGATTCTAGTAATATCCATGCTGCAAACCTCAGCTATACCCTCCAGAGTCAGCGATGGGGTTTCAGATTTGTATTCTGAATTTATGCCAAATTTCAAAACATCACTTCTATAACTCTTGCAGATGCAGATTTGATCTAACATTGACCCATGAAAATCCACCCGAGGATCTTCTACTTGACATTTGCCCATTTTAACATAAAAATTAGACATTTATACAATTCCTGAAAGTTATGCTTTTACTTCTCTGTTTATGTGTTTATGTGTTATATAATATCTCTCAACAATAGATGCCCAATAGGTTTTGTCATTGAAAAGTGAACTCTTCTTACCCTGTAACCGTCTGTGGACTCTGTATGATCCTGGTGTTTTTATTTTGATACTGTTTTTGTAAATCCAGATATTGAGTCGACCAATCAGGACCAAAAGTGTCGCTCTTGATTGGCCTTTGGTTGCAAGATTTTTAGCAGCAGAAGAACCTTTTTTTCTTTTTCTTTTTTATAAATAAACAGATACAGTGAAAAGCACATTTAATGATTATTTGAAAATAAATATTGACATTTGATTTAAAACATAATTTGCCAATATTTCTTTTCAAATTACATTCAATGGAAACTTCATGAACAGGCAAAACGACAAACCATTTATTCTGAAAATAAAATGAGCATATAATAACATGTTGCCCAGAAAAAGCAGCACTCCTCTAACTCTAACACGGGTCTAATTGAAGAGAAGCCGTCGTAAAGAACCTCATTTAAAAACGCTCGGCTCATTAAGTCATAATCGGAGGATTCGTCATCACCATTGTCTGTAGAAAGGTGTGGATAGAGTGAGAGCTGCCATTAGTTTCTCTCAGACATTTGGGATGACTTTAATAAATGTTACTCTTAATCTTTGCAATAATTTGAGAAAGGACAGTTTTCAATCCCAAATACATGACTTTTTTTTTTTATAGACTATTTTCAGTATTCTTTCAACCTTTCATCCTTTCTTTTTGCTTTGCTTCATGATTGCTTTAGTAATTGAGTGAAAATTATGCCGTCAGTCTCTGGGGGTGGATCCCTCTCTCAATGTGGGCCTCATCCAGTTTTTGACTTGTTCTTTGTCGATGTGGGAGGGTCAAAGGACAGAGATGATCCGTGACATGTACGACATTCATGGACATTTATGAATAATTTTTTGGACATTGGTCACTCGCTCCCTATTGACCAATGGCTCCCAAGTGTTTGTTATTATTGCATTTCCTGTGTTCTCCGATCTGTGTTGGTGAATTGACAGCTTAGTTAGGTCTCAGAGAAGACTGCTGTTGTGATTGAGGGCTATACAAAAATGAATTGAGTTGAAAAACGTGTCAAATATAATGTGTGAGTGGGTCAGCCTTTGCTAAACATGAGCTTGTTGAATCCTGAGTTGCTTTGCTTTCTTAAGCCAAGTGCAAACTGTGTGAAGCAGACCGTTGGACAAGGCTGCTCCTTTTACTTGCTGTAGGTATAAACAAACACACTTAAAGATGCTATACCCGATTCTTTTTGTAATGAGTTCATAAAAATGGTTATTGCTACATACGAGTTGTATTATAATCCGTAATTTAATTGAAAACTTGAGCTCATTGATTCGGTTTGTGTATGAATTCAGGCCGTAAAAGTGCTGAGTGGAAACTTAACGTAACGCCCGCTCTCCTCCAATCACAGAACAAGGCTGCGTCCTCTAGCCTCTACAGCGCTGCTAAACACAGTAGCATGTTAGCAGAATTGGCGATAACTCTTCTCGCTGTAACTGTATACACAAAAAAACAGCACAAACAACACAACAGTGAGGAAGAGAAGAGGGAACTAAAGCGAAAAAATGATCAAAGAAGAAATCAAGCCCAGGTGAACATAGCTAGCTTACATCGTATCCTCTGGAGAGACTTGTCTATGGGAGAGACCTGCGGGACTGCCTCGGACTATCTATGCTCGGACTATCTATGCTCGGACTACATTCGGACGCGTGACTAGCGGTAATCTTTCAGTTATATATTTTGCAATCAGTGCGTTGCTTTTGTACCATTTCATCAGTGATTGTTGTACAGCTTACCGGAAGTTGCGCTCATGCTAATGTTTGCATACTGTATGTATCAGATCTCAAATAAAACTAGATGGCTCCGTGGCAGGAGAGCGTAGGGGAAATGAGGAGCCCCTGAGCGAGTTGGGGGCGGTGCTAAACAAACCTTGCAGAAACGGGTATAGCTCCTTTAAATTCTATGTATATGTAAAGCTACACACTTTTTTCCCACAACAGTTTTGATAAATGCAAACACATAAATACATAGTTCCTAAAGCGATTGGATTCTATCGCTTTGGTTCATGCTTTTTTTGTCACGTCTTTGGATCAGCTTTATCATTTAGAAACATCCACCCTTACTCAGATCAGCTTTCAGCCCAAATAGTCAAATAGTGACCCCCACAGCTCATTCTTATTTCTGGTATGTAAAATATAACAAGTAAAGATAAAGGCATGTTGTGGCCAAATTTTATCAAAACATTTCACTTTAACTTCATGTTGGGAAGAATTGTAATTTAAACAACACAGTAATCATAATCATTTCTGAAAAAGTTAGTTACCAAGCCTAAAGAATTCAAATATACTGAATCCACAAAAGCTTTGACGCCACACTTGTTCCAGATATCAGTATTAGCTAAAATTAGCGTATGTTAGAATAAAGTAGTCTCCAACATAATCCTAAAGAGAAGGGCCGTCCACTCCTCCATGTCTTCCTCTCTCAGGGATCATCTCGTCTGCTTCATGCCCCCCCAGGGAACAATCAAACACAATCTCTGGTTCCCATTGTCCGGAGGAAAGTGTATGCTTAAGACCATGTGTACAATGGCCTCTGTTTGCATGTGCTGGCGGTTATTTATGTCTTTATTGTGCAACATCGCAGGCTCCTCTGTGTTTGAAATATTGAATGGTGCTGCTCAGGGTTAAACCACAGCTCATTGTTATAAACGCTCCCATGGGATCCATCAAACAACTGTCTGACTCACAAGATTCATGTCACCAGTTCAGACGGGGAGCTTCTGTCGCACATCACCACGGTAACCATATTATCCGGTTCAGACGGACATTCTGCTAGAGAGCGCCTGTAAACTTATATTTTTGGGTACATTTTCTTTATTGGACTTTTTCCACATACAGTATGGCCATGAGCTTTAGGTAATGACTGAACAATAGAAGGATCTTTGTTTACATCTGTGTGTGCATGCGTCACTGACTACTCAAGATACTGTGCGGCACATACAGAAGCAAGGATGCGACGAGTAGTTTTTAAAGAGTTAGTGGGAAAAATGCACTGTGTATAAGCACTTCAACACCGGAAGATCGGAGGCGATATAAAGATGAGCTAAAAATTAGTATAGGAGACCGAACTGAACAAGTTTAAAACCCAGATGAGACCCGGACGCATCGACAGCTCCAACTCTTGTTTTGCTTTTAAGTTTTCCGATCCATAGCCCATTTTGATTAGAGGAACATAGTCTGGGTGCTGTGGATTGATATTTGCAAAACCTGAATGAGACCGCAGACCACATATTTTCGATGTTCTATTCAGAAGTCAACTGACCACACGACAAGAGTGGACCATTTGATTTAGTAAAACCTCCCTCCACACGTGTAAAACTATCTAACTCTGTAGAATCCTGTTGCTGCTTTTTTGCCACCCAGTCACATGACCAGCACGGAAAATCTATAAACAACGTCATCCCTCACAGATCCTCGTATTGCCGGGGTGGTCCAGACATGTCCCACCTCATGATGTGTGGAGATCTTGTATTGTAACTTCACTGATAGACAAATCTTGA